ATATTATCTTTATTGATTAAATTGAGTAATTTAATATGTCAGGTTATCATAATATATTGATATGTAGTTCAAAATTTGTCATTATAATTAATTTAAATTTTGTAAATATTACCTCCTTTTACATTATTTATTATACACATTCAAATATTAAAATGAAAACTAATGATAAAGTACTTAACTTAATTGTCAAGTGAGACTATGGCTTTTTAGCCATGAGTATTTGGGTTCAAATCTTCACATCCTTAAAATATTTTGGGGTTATTTCAAGGCATGTTCGGTTCCAAGGCCGGTTCCACCAAGGCCAACCAAGGTTGGTTCATTGGGTTGGTTCGGGTAGGTTAACCCCTAGACCCTGGAACTGACCTTGGTGGGGGTCGGTTCCAAGAATTTGGAACCAGACCCTACCCTGTAACAGATTGGGTAGGGTCGGTTCAAGGCTGGTTCGAGGTCGGTTCCATTTTGTTCCAGGTAGAAGCTACCCATTTGCTCATCCCTACTTAGTATAGCTGTGGGATGGTTTTGGGAATGCCTTTTCCTGTAATGCAGTTTTGGAGTAAGCTATCCCATTCCCACCTTGAGTTGGTGTTTTTTGTTGGGAAGCCTTTCTAGAGATTATTAACACCTATAATTTACTTCAAAGAAAAAGACCTAATTGGTGTTCTCTTTGTAAGGCTGAAGGTGAGTCGTTTTTTTTTTTATCAATAACAACATTTTCATTAATTAGACTGTAAATATAGTACAAGCAGGAGATAAAATTTCTTAACTCCCCCTACTGAGGCCAAAGCCCCATACAAGGTCTGAAATTACAACTAGGCCCAAAATAAAGCTTCCTACCCACCCCTCTTTGCTAACTCATCAGAAATGGGTTAGCAGATCTCTTCACCCAACTGAACTTCACTTCCATGTCCTTGACTAGCCACTTAAATTTTTTCTTTTCATTTCTATACGCCCATAGACCAGCCTTATCTTCTTTCAGCCACCCTACATCTTGCTACCACTTATTAATTTCCTGCCCTTTTATTTCCTCAATTTGGGAATGGTTTCTCTCTTTGTTTGGGTGCAGGTGGAACCCCCACCAAGCATACAGAGCTTGTTTGCCTCTACCTTTTTTAGTTGGCCAAAGAAGAGGGGAAGGTTTTTATGGAGATGCATAAGTGCGGCTTTGTGTTGGACAGCTCGGGAAGAAAGGAATCAAAGGATCTTTCTTGAAAAGGAGAGAAGAGATGCCCTAATTGAAGTCATTACAATTATGGTTATCCACTAGGTGAAGTCTATTGAACTTTTTGAGGGGGTTCATGTAGATGACTTGGTGAGAAATTGGAATGAAGTTGCTGATCCAGCTACTATGAAGGTTGTGGTAAGACCAATTTGGTCCCATCTTCTCAGATAAGAAGAGAAGCCTAGAAACTTTACTGGTGGTGATTCATGCAAGGGTGGTATAATGGCTTAAGTCTTTAGATCTGTATGAAGACTTTACAGTGGATGATTTGCAAAAGAAATGGAAAGAGATAGCAACATCTGACCTGGCTAAGGAGACTTCATGTTCCTATTTGGACTCCTAGTGGCTTTATCAAGCTGAGTTTTGATGGTAGCAGTGCTGGAAATCCAGGGCCTTCAGGCATTAGGGGAGTATTAAAGAACGAGGAGGGGAATGTAATTGCTCTTTTCTCGGGACCAATTGGAGTAAGTGACTCTCTACAGGCTGAGATCTTGGCGGCTTTGGAAGGTGTGCAAAGAGCTAAAGAGCTGAGTATTAGAAAACTGGTCATAGAAGGAGATTGTAAGGTGGTAGTAGGCTGGTTGAAGGAAGAAGTGAACGGGATTTAGAATACAGCAACGAAAAGAAGTCTGAAGTTTTACTAGTCGACAAAGGACATTGATGTAAAATTCTCATGGATTAAAAGAACTGCCAATTCCTTTGCTGATGGGTTAGCTAAACAAGGGGTTCTTTATTTTGGTCTCGATTGTAATTGTAATTTTCACCTTTTAGGTGGACTTCTTGGATGAGAGAGTTAAGAAAGCTTATATCCCCTTTCCTGTACTCAATTCTTAATACTTTTTAATGAAAAGCCACTTATTGTTGATAAAAAAGACTATTTTGGCCTCCACCTTCATGCGGCTTCATCAAGCTGAATTTTGATGGTAGTAGTGAAGGAAATCCGGGTCCTTGAGGCATAGGGGGAGATTTTAGAAACAAGGAAGGAAGAATAATTACCATCTGCTCAGGTTTGCTTGGTGTTGGAGACTCTCTGAGGGCTGAAATAGTGGCTGTGTTGGAAGGTCTTCAAAGGGCTAAAGAGCTGAATATTCATAAACTTGTAATTGATCGAAGGGGACTCGAAGTTAGTTATCGAGTGGCTGCAGAAGGAAGAGGAGGCTGGATGGTGGAGCTATATTAATGAGAAAAGGAGTAAATGGCTATCTCAGGAATGGAAATCAATGTGCAATGGGTGAAAAGGAATGCTGACTCTTTAGCTGATACATTAGCAAAGCAGGGGGGCGGGAAGGGATCACTCTTTTGTGCTGCTTTGTAATCATGTTGTCTATATTTGGGAGAGTTAAGAGAGTTTATCTCTCCCTATATCTTCTTTGTACATCTTCTTTATTAATTTTTTTTGCTCAATATCTTCTTTATTAATTTAATGAATCAGTTTCTGTTCATCAAAAAAAGCTCAACATACATGATGCATGAAAAAAATAATGCTTTTGCTAAAACACGTCTTATCTGGAAGTGCAAAATCTTTGAGGCTTTCTGGAGGTTCTTCTAGTTAACCTTTTGTTAAATAAGGATGCTGTCTTTTTGGGTATTACCAGTCTTCTTTCTTTGGATTTTCAATATGTTACATGTATATGCATGTGTGCATTAGGATCAACGTATATGCATGTGTGCATTAGGATCAACTATTTCCCCCTTAGTTTATTTTAGGTAGTATTTAGGCTATGCATTCTATATTTTATCCACCCCATAAAATATTAGTATTTAAGCTATGCATTCTATATGTATATGCATGTGTGTATTAGGATCAACCTTTTGTTAAATAAGGATTCAGTTCATTTTGCCATAGAAGTACAGACTTGTCATGCTTGTGCACATTGTCTACATATAGAAGTAACTTCTTTGTGGTTGGATGAATGATAAACAATTTTTAAAAACATGAAGGCGTGAAGTGAGGTGCCTGGAACTTTAAATTAACAAAATTATTAGAAATACATCAAACTACATGATAAAAACTCTAGCATATGCACATGAGGAGTATATTTTTGTGCAGAAGAGTAGTCCAGATGAATAAATGATCACAAGAATAAAGACTATTAGAATGTTAGGAACTCCATGGCAAGTTATTGAATTCTTATAAACCATTTAACATAAACTAGTAAACTACTAAGAAACTCTAAATGCTAAATAATACCCCAAAATGGTTTCGAATATATTGAAGCATAAGTGCAAGCATAGAGGTAAACATATACATAGTTATATAGCACTACTGTAAACGGGGGTGCATGGCTCTTGATGTTGTACATTTTCTTAAATTTATTAATGAATTCTTTTAACAGTTACTGATAAAAAATTACATATACACACACACATACATACATAAGGAGTATGAAGGTATGGGGAATATGCCTTGCACATTCAAGCGTGCACCATGGTTTTAAAAAACGATCTGGAAACGGTGCCATTCTGGCCACTGGTTTCTGGGTTGACAGTTCAACCGTCCGGTTCGAATTGATGGCCCGTTCTGACAAAATAAAAAAAATTAAAAATAAAAAACGGCCAAAAACCGTTGAATGGGTCGATGGGTCAATGGTTTGACTGCCCGTTCAATGGGTCGTTGACTGATTCAACAGTTTTTGGCCAGGGACCGGGTTTGGGGTAAAACAGAGCCGGTTGCTTGGACGGCTCCCGGGCCAAACAGTCCGACTGTCTGGGTCAACGACGGTCCGAAATCCATGGCGTGCACCTTAAGATTGAGCCTGGTGGCATATCCTTGGGCCTTGCTTGGAGGTATGACAATCCTAATCCTCATTTGCCTTCAAAATCACTGACTATAATTTGGTAAAATGATCATGTATTTGCGTTTTAGAGGGTGGGCCTTTGCACAACGGTTGGGTTGCCAATTTGACTCTTCTCAATAGATCTCACTTGCCAATTTAACTCATCTGGCTCCTTATTTGACTCAGATTGCCCAAGTCAAATATCTAGATCAGGTACCACAAACTATTAAATTTGTACGTAAATGAATTACTGATAATCCTTTTCTCATTCTACAATGATTTAAATTAAAAGACGATTTCACATGAGAAATTATTCTAAATATTGTCATCTTCAATATAAAATAGTAAAATTTGATGTTGGCAGTCTATCGGTGTAGGAACTAGAAAGCAATAGGATTTGGATGTAAGAAAAGCTTGTCTTGAAAGTTCTGCAAAGAAGTAATCCGTAACCTAACAACCAAAAAAAATTTGCCGCTAAAGAATTATGGTTTCCAGTATTTACAAAGATTTATCGCAATCAGATTTGAGTGTGAGAAAAGTTAGAGGCATTATACAGCTGATTTTGGTGGTGGGCCTGGTGACAGTTGGTGGTCCTATTAACGGAGGGGCAATAACAAGGGATAGTGATTTTGCAATTAAATGGGCCTTTTGAATGGAAATTTTTTGTAACTGACTACTCACCAAAATCTTCTATTGATTTTGTCAGAGAATGGTTCACTCCAAATAGATGATGATGATTGGTAGCCGACCCCATATGATTGGGATTAGACTTAGATGATAATGAATGGTTCACTCCAAACAACCATGTGTGCCAAGTTGGTTTAAGAGAGTCTGCCTCTTCTACCTCCAGTTTGCTTGTTAGGTCTTGCCAAAGTTTCATTTTAAAATATTTCAGCTTTCATACATTCATATAAACAGTCAATCTTTACACATGTTCAATGAATATTCTTGTATGTCCATATGCAATTTGTTTCCATCTCTTTGACGTTTTGGTCTATGAACAGGAGCACAACAAAAGACCTCCACTTTCTGTACAACAGGGCCAACCTTCCCCACTTCCAAACCCTGTACACTAGAACACATTTTTTCTGTCTCTATGATGCCTTCATAAGTTATGTTTCTTTCTCTGAATTTTGATGATAGTTATTTTGTACACAGAACCAAAGATGATGTTTCCTCAAAATATTTGGGCGTTGAATGTGTTTTTGCATGATTCTACATCATCCAGTGGGTCCTATTTTTTGTAAAAGTTTTAGTAGTATGGTTGATGTGAAAATCCAAGTGTGGTTGTTCTTGATGGTCCACAATATTTCTTTCAGCTGCGTTAAGGAATGTAAAGGATTGGATAGGAACAATAGACTGGATACAAATTTCAAGTAGGTGCTTTTGCTTGATATCAATCAGAGAAATTTACTCAACAAGAAAATCATAATTATGTGCAAAATGTATAGTGAAGCCCAAATATTGAATACTCCATATGGATTTAGTCAATAAAAAGCTGACCCAAGAAACATGCAAATTGATTTATAACTGTGGAAAATGGGTGTGGTAGAAATACAAATGCTGAGATGGATGAGTGGAGAAAATAGAAAGGAAATCATTAGGAAAGAATATATTTGAAGGAATCTAAGAGTAGTTCCAATGGGCGACAGTTGACAAAACAAGGAAAAGTAGACCGAGATGGTTTGGTCATGTTTAGAGATGACCATCCACAACACTATTAAGTAGTCTGTCACAAGTTGAAGGGTCTAAAGGAGCTAAGGGCAGACCAAAAATGACATGCACTGAAGTGGTAAGAACATAGTTGTCAAGGCGATGCCTAGGTGGGCACCTAAGCGACAAGGTGCCCTTTGAGGCTCGTCTCACTTAATCGCCTAGCAGTTTTGTACTATGTATTGTAAAATATTTTTTTATTTTTTATTTTTTGACATTATAATTATAAAAGAGGCACAATTAAACTAAAATACTCATTTTGTGTGTTTATATACTAATTTGTTTTTATTATTTTTTTATTTGTTAGGATTTAATCATGTATTGAACCCTCAAAGACTTTAAAACCTGAACCAATAAGGAAGAACTTAAAATTTTGTCTAATCAACACATTTTCTATGACAGGACTACTACTACTATAATCAACACTTTTTATTTTCTTTTTTTTCTATTACAAAAATAAGGGTTCAGACCCTATATTTTTTGAATTTTCTTTTCCTTTTTTTCTTCTCATGAATGTGTTGATTTTCTATACTTTAACATGAACTCTATACTTTTATTATGAATAATTATTAAGGAAATATGGCTATGGTACCTAGGGAACTACCCTAGGATCTATATTTTCTATATAAAAGAGTCCATCGCCTAGGTGACAAGGCGCCCCCTTGACGCCCAGCCTCGCCTTGGCACCTTGAAAACTATGGGTAAGAAATTATAAGGGCTCATATTTAACAACAAAGTGTTCAGACCAACTAACAGACATAGGGAAGGTCATCTACACAACACACTATATTCATCATTATTAAAAAAATAAATGTAAACATAATAATTAATTTTATTTATGATGGGAATGGAATAAAATTTAAGATCAACCAAAAAAGTAAATGATTTTTTTCCATCCAGGTGGTAGGTTTGTGATTCAACTATTCATGTCAAATGGGGTATTTATCAAGTAAAAAAAATTAAGTGCGATAAATAAGAATTATTTTTATTAATGATGAAAATTGAATAAAAATAAAAAGAAAAACATTAATGTCTAACACATTATCTCACCAACCATGTTAAATGGTTCAATTATTTAATTAGCTAGGTCATCGTATAGGAGAGTGGTTTGGTGGTATATTGACCTAGAATCCTGAATTGGGCAATGGATTGATCGATTTAATCAATTTGACCACAATATTAAAAAACATTATCCAAACAATGTATTGGAATTGCATTTCCTTTGTTAAATAAGCAGATTTTATTATGTCATAAATTAAGTAATAGTAAATAAAAATTAAAAAAATATAGAAAAATTTGACCATGCCATTAATATAAAATATTCTTCATATTAAACAAAAAAATGTTTGAAAAAAAGGAGAATTATGTTTATAAAGGTGGAAATGGCTAAAAATAAAAAAAGAAAAAAAATTTGTCTTAACCATGGCCCATTGACATGGTTAAATAGGTTAGTGGTTCAACTAGTAAGCAAGGTTCAAAGTATTGACACGTATTGGCCCATATCAATTGATACGTATCGTTCTGAGACCCCTCTGATACGCCCCTACAGTGGGTGTATCGGAGGTTTGACCAGTTCAGGGGGTAGAGGAGACCTAAACTGGCCCCCCTGAACCGGTTGTGAAAAAAAAAATAAAAAAACAGCTCCAAAATGTGTATTGATTTGCCTGGAACGCCCCTATCGACGTATTGAGCATGTCGATATTTTGGACCTTGCTAGTAAGGTCATTTGGTTGTTGACTAAGTCAATGATTTTTTGCAACAAAGTAGTTTGGGTTAAAATATACTCAAAAAATTTGTCCAAGTGGCAAACTAATAAATCCATTTGTCTAATTCAATCACAAGTTGGAAACATTGATAAAAACTATAAGAACACTTGAAGTTAAGTATTTGGGTTAAAAGACAACAAATCCACCAAGACACCATGCTTTGATCACTTTTCTTTATTACATGAGTTTTAATAAGAAAACTAAAATATCATTATCGCCATCATCATTTGAAACTGTCATGTGAAATGTATGTGCACATTTATCAGTTTCTTAAAATTTATTGGCTCTTTTTTCTTTTTTATTTTATTCCCTATTATCTCCTCATTAATGTGATAAACCAAAAGTAATTTGCTTAGGGATGATCATTTAAACATAGCCTAGGCCCAAGCCTACAAAAAGCCCACACAGTTTCAAGGCCGAGCATAAGGCTAATACTTCAAGGTCGGCATGGGCCCAACCCAGCTCGTAAACAAATAACAATTTAAAAAGTAGTTTATAAAAATATCATAATCACCTAAAAATAATGAGAGAGAATTTTACTCTCATACAAATTCCATTTTTTTTGTTTCATATTCAAATTCTGTTTGAATTAGCTAATTGTTAGAAAATTATAATTTGAAACATAATAACTAAATTTAATAAAAAATTAGTTAATTTAATTAACATATTAAATTTTAGAAACTAATAAAAATTAGTAGTTCATAAATTGAAAGTTAAAATACGTTTCAATTCTATTTAAAAATAACTTATATTAATATGATAATTAAGATTGATAATAAAAAGTAAAAAATATTAGAAAAACCCTTTTGGCATATAAAAATTAATTAAAACAATAAAACTAATAATGACTCAGTTAGAGATGTCATAAAACTCATTCTATTGTGGGATGATCATTTATAACTTAGCCCAACCCAATTAAACCTGTAAATTTCTAGGTTCAAGCAACTATATTTTTTTGAGTTAAGTCTAGTTTGAATTTAAATCAAACCCACACATAATGTGGGCAGTAGGGCTGTGTAAGCAGGTTGGATTCAAATTGGATCCAACTGCATTTGATTATGAAATCTCTAGATCCGCATTTGCATTTGATTATTATGTTGGATTTCAAATCGGATTCAAATTTAATCCACAATCATCTTATTGTGTTTAAAATGACTAGAAAATTTTAAAGTTAAAAATAATTGTTTTTAAAGTGTATCTATATAATAAATGTATATAAATATAAAATATTAAATTTATCAATTATAAACTTTATATGATTATACATAATATCTATATGATTACATAATTATACTATATATATACACACATAAAATAACAATTTTTTATTGGATTGGAATTTTAATATGATCGGGTGGAGTTAAATCCACATCCGATCCTATTATTAATCAAATGCAAGTTTTAACATCCAAATTTAGGATAATCGGATTTTGAATCAAATCAAGTATCAAACTTTTGAAGTCTATTGACTACCATAGCGAGCAGGGCCCAAGCTAAGCAATCCCTAAGATTGACATGGAAGTTATACATATATATATATATATGTATATATATATAACAAATTTTATATTAATATATAGATAGATTTTTTATAATAAATAAAAATTTTAATTTATAAAAAACCATAGTTTTATAATTAACATAGGCAAACCTGTCCTTGTCCCAAGCCCAAACAAATATTATTATTCTTGGGGTGTGGGCTGGGTTGGGCTAGGCAACCTTAAATTTTGTCAAGAGAATAGGCTACAATGAAGGTAGTTCATCCCCCATAGCTCATTCGACTTTAATATTAATATTTTCTATTGAAAAATAGTTTAAAACCCCAAAATAATGCATGCATGGGTTGTACTCGGTTTGGTTCAGTCCAATTATGAATATCACATTGCTCTTAAGGGTGCAACTTAGGTGAATTAGGTTAGGTTGAGGGCCAACCCAAGCCCAACTTGAAGTCTTAGGCCTTAGCTTGGGCTTAGATTAATTTAATTATGACTAAAAAGTTAATCCATAGATTAATTTAATTATGATTATAACCTAATTTTATACATTTACTAATATTTAAGTTATATTTACAAAAAATTGCAACATTTAAACATTAATAGATAATATGAAAAAAATAATTATTTTTATTAAATAGTTAGCAATAATTTATTATTTCTATTAGAATATTATTATAATTAATCCAAATTACTAAACTACTAAATTATTTTTTATAACAAATTACTAAAATAAAGATTAATTTATTATTTCACTTTCCCTTAACAAATCCTGTACATTGTACGGGTCCCCACTCCCCACTAGTTTGTGTGTAGCTTAGCAACTATACTCAATAGAGCTAGGGGGGTCAATTCTACTCGAATGAACTGATTATATTAGTGTTCCAATTAATAATCGGGTTGGGACCAATTCTTGATGTTCCGAACCGATGAAGAATTGATTATAAAGTTAACGTAAATTGCCCGCTTGGTTTTAGAAGGTGGGTTCCACATGAAAATCCTTGGTAAAAATATTGGAAAATTCAAATTAGGGATCCTTGTTGGATACCCAACTTCCTCGATTCCATTAGGTCAAGGATGGGGAGTGAATACCCTGCCTCACCCCAATCCTGATTATATATATTAAAATTAAATATATATAGATTTAATATTATTTATATTGTTTATATTAAATTATATTTAAAATAGTTTTTATATTTAAAAAATTCTCTTATTTTAAGTAAATTTATTCTTTAAAAATAATTTTAATTTAAAAATTTTGGAGATTTAGGTCTCTAACGGAAAACCTATATCTGTCCGAGATCAGGGATGGATGGTCATTTTCATCCCTAATAGATCGGGGTCGAAAATGGAAATTTGTTTCTAAGTTGAGGTCGGGGACAAGAAATATGGTCCTTCACCCTGAACTCGTCCCATTGCCATTTTTAGTTCAAATATATTTTTAAATCAACCTCACCAAAAATTGGCTTTTGGTGAGGTTGGTTTCAAAGCTCGTTTGGGAAGACTTATGCGGTGATTGAGCCGCTTTTGAAAAGTTACTTTACTGGAAAGTCGATTTTACGGCCTATCCGCCAATGTATATGCAAGTTGTTTTTCCTTCTTTTTGTTTTCGATTTTTCGGATTTTTGTCAAACCAGGCTTGTCGATTTTACATCTGCCCCCCACACTGAATAGGACTCCGGATCTCCTGTCCACTACAATTCTGCCTATGTTTACTCACAACACACTATTCCCTTGAATTGGTAATATCTCTCTGAGCCCAAATTTCCTATAAATTTTTCTTACCATAGAAATGTATGACTTCAATTCATGGCGGATAGGAAAAATTTGTAGGACATCATGAGACGTTCTAATGCATGCACGCTGAGATGTGTATGTGGGACATTTTTGAGGCGCGTTCGGTGGGAACATGTGAATTCTCCGAATTTATTGGCTCTTGCAGGAATTTACATCTTCGCCCCATAGAGGGCGCCCCACAAACGCCCAATAGCATATTCCAACCGCATCTCCCGTACTAGCTACTAACAACTTCGGGAGATGTTTACAATGCACGATGAAATGTGCATGATGGGCGCTTGTGGGGTGCAGATTTGATCTCCTCTTGCGATGCTACAAGCTCGATCACACATGAATCACGCGTTTTTCTCAGTCTCCCTCGCTCGCTCGCTCGCTCGCTACAAAAGAAGTTCAGGAGTTCTAACCCAGTTACAGTCTTTTTTCTACAAAATATGGTTGTTTCTTGTCGTCTATTCGGTTCGGTCTCCAGGGATTTTAGATTCTCCCCCCATCCAACAAAGAACTTCATCTTAGTTCCTTCAAATCTTCCTTCCAAATGCCATCTCAGATTCAATCCCAGACTCAAATTTCATTTGTTCCATATCTTCTTCGCCAATAACAGACCCAAATCCCCCGTGAAATCCCTCCACCATGCTAATCCCTCTAGTCACAACCAAATTCAATCCATGTTCACCGGAATTGTTGAAGAGATGGGCGAAATCAGTCAACTGGGTTTGACCGAGAATGGCGGATTTGAGATGACGATCTCTGCAAAAACAGTTCTTGAAGATGTCAATCTTGGAGACAGCATTGCCGTCAATGGCACCTGCCTCACAGTCACCCAATTCGACAAGGAAGCATCAGAATTCTCGGTGGGCCTCTCACCTGAGACCCTCCGGAAAACCTCACTCATTGAGCTTGTTCCCGGCTCGCTCGTCAATCTGGAACGAGCCCTCCAACCGTCTACTCGAATGGGTGGGCATTTCGTTCAGGGCCACGTTGATGGAACTGGTGAGATTATTTCCACGGAGCCTGAAGGAGACTCCCTCTGGGTGAAGGTGAAAACGTCACCTGAGTTGTTGAAGTTCATCGTGCCGAAAGGGTTTATAGCGGTGGATGGGACAAGCTTGACCGTGGTTAATGTGTTTGATGAGGAGGATTGCTTTAATTTCATGTTGGTTGCTTACACGCAGCAGAAGGTAGTGATTCCTCTGAAGAAGGTCGGACAGAAAGTGAATTTGGAGGTGGATATACTTGGGAAGTACGTGGAGAGACTTCTTAAAATTGGATTCCCAAGCTCCATTGCATCTCCATGACCCAAGGTACTGAAGCTTAGTTTCATTTTCTGTAATTATTATTATTATTTTTCAATTCCATCTTTGTGAGTGCTTCTTCTTGTGTTGTTTAGTTAATGTTGTAAGGTAGTCTGGCAAACAAAAAGGCATTTCCAATTGGCGTTAGTGTCTTGATTGTATCGTCATTGGAGTATTAGGCTTTGTTTGTTTGCTGTTAATTCCATTTGCACTGGTGAAAATAAAAAGAATGCAAATTCTGGTACGTTTTTGTTTCTGTATTTACTTTACTTTTCTTCAGGTTCTATTTCTTTCGTCTAAGATGCTAGGAAAAGTATGTGAAATTAGTCAGCCCAATCCTGGGCTGGATGGGTCCCGGCATCAAATCAGACTTATTAGAACTCAGATATGATTCTATTCAAACCGGTTGAGATTAGCCAGCCCAATTCTTATTTGTTCCATGGATCCTACTTGTATGCACAGTCTCTCAACTCTGACAGTCATTGATGCCCCGATTTAGCAATATCTTGTGATGGGCTGATGCCAATTTGATATGAAGTGGTTTAGTCTTAAATGATGTTTTATGTCTGATAAATCTATCAGTTGTTGCCTTGTATGGGAAATACTGAGGAAATTTAGTTCCCTCTGGTAATGTGTCAGTAGTGGAATACTGAGTTGAGATTTTAAACTCATACAACATCCCTTGGTGAGGCGTGAGCTGCAGCCTCTTCCAACTGATTACAGGGAAACTAGAAAGAAGAAAAACAAGCATTACAGCTGCACCCAAAACAAGGCTTCCTTAATTGTTGCTTGCTTAGCTAAACCATCAGCCAAAGTATTTTCTGATCTCCCCAACCAATGCATAAGAACAGACATATTCCTTGTCATTTTTTTTTTTTTTATTTCATTCTTGTAGCATCATATAGTATCCTCAAGATTCTTCAACCACCTCACCACCACCTTGGAGTCCCCTTCAATAAGTAGCTGCCCTACACCCAGTTAGTTGATTTGCAAATAGTAATTCTGCCTTGACTGAATCCCCAAGTCCCAAAGGACCTGAGTAGAGGAGTACAATCTCTCCAAGCTCGTTTCTCAGAACACCCCCCAATCCCCCATTCCAGAGTGTCCTGGATTACCTTGGCTTCTCCCATCAAAGTTCAGCTTCCGTGAGCCTTTAGGCAATGAGGTCCATCTTGGAACTGCCCTGGTCTTACTGGATGAACACCTTGCTACTGCTAGCCAATTTCTCCATAAATTTGTAAAGGAGAATTGATGGAACAGTTCTATGGTCTTTAACCAATGTATTTCCCTATTCAACACACAGTCCTTTAAATCTTGACTATTCCTTTCCTTCTCTTGGAAAATACAAGCGCTCCTTTCTTTCCAGATTGTTTAGATCAAGGCTTTTCTAGCGCATCTCCACATAATTTTCCTTTTTTTTGGCCAAATGAAAGTAGAGAGGTTAAAAATCATGCTCACTTTCGCTGGCAAGTTCCACCTACACCCAAACAACGAAAAAAAGCCAAGCCCATAATTCTGCAGAAATAGGGCAGGATATTAGACAAGAAAGCTTGGTTGGGAAGAAGTTTTGAAGAGATAGAAATCAAAGAGGTAGTCTTCAGCATGGATGGAGATAGGGCACCTGGTCCAGATGGATTCCCATTATTCTTCTTTCGAAAGTGTTGGGACATTGTTAAAGAAGATTTGCTAGAGCTTTTTAGGGAGTTTTACTCCTTTGCCATTGTAAACAAAGGTTTAAACTCAACCCTTCTGTGTTTAATTCCAAAGAAAGGGGGGATTTTGGAGGTTAAGGACTTTAGACCAATAATCTTGGTAGGGAGCATATACAAAATATTGGTTAAAGTGCTAACAAAAAGACTTAATGAAGTCGTAGGAGATCTGATTTCACCAAATCAGTTCGCTTTTGTTAAAGGAAGACAAATTGTGGACAGTATTTTAATTGCAAATGAATGTGTAGAAGACAGAAAAGCTCTCAGGAAGCCGGGGATCCTAGTCAAGTTAGACCTTGAAAAGGCATATGATAAAGTGGACTGGGAATACATCTTAGATTGCTTGAGATTGAGAGGTTTTGGCAGCAGATGGATCAAGTGGATCAAAGGTTGTATTGGCTCATCTTGGTTTCCGGTGCTTTGAAATAGAGAGCCTAAGGGTTATTTCAAGGCTAGCTGAGGGCTTAGATAGGGATGCCCACTCTCTCCTTTCCTTTTTACCCTGGTGATGGATATCTTCAATTATTTGTTTGACAAAGCCAAGCTACTAAGTTTGGTTAAGGGCTTTGAAGTTGGGAGAGATTCAGTTTAGATCTCTCATATGCAATTTGCTGATGACATCATCTTATTCTTGGATGTTTCCATGGAAAACACTTCTAATGTGAAAAGGGTAATTGAAGGCTTTGAATTAGTCACTGGGTTGAGGGTCAACTTTAGTAAAAGCGTCATTGTACTCATAAACTCAGTAGAAGAGGATCTACTAGAGCACTTCAAATCTAAACTGGATTGTAAAGTGGAGAACATCCCTATTTCCTATTTAGGGATGTCTCTTGGAGGAAACCCAAAAACTCTTTAAGCTTTTGGGGGCCGGTGGTGGAGAAGTGTGAAAAGAAACTAGCTTCCTGGAAAAAATGTTATCTGTCAAAAGGGGGAAGACTCATTCTCTTAAAGGCCTCCCTAGTAAATCTACCAATCTATTACCTTTTGGTCTTCCACATTCTGACTAAAGTGAGAAACCTCTTAGAGAAAACCTAAAGAAACTTTCTTTGGGATGGAGGAGGGGAGAAAAGAAACTACTTGGTAAGTTGGGACCAAGTGAGTAAGCCGAAGGAGTTAGGAGGATTGGGAGTAGGACATCTAAAAGAGAAAAATACCTCTCTTCTGAGCAAATGGCTTTGGAGATTCCTTATCGAGTCCAATGCTCTTTGGGCAGCTGTCATCTCAAGCAAATATGGAACAAGTGCAAACAGGTGGGATAGCAATCTTCATTTGAACTGAGTAAAGACTTCAGATTCTTAAACCTGGCTGGTTACAATTGGGTTTTTCCAAAGCATATTACATCCATTACCACCACTTCTACAGCCACAGCCACCACCTGCACCATTGGTACCACCACTTACTATCAGTGCCAGTAACAACAGTGGTAGCAAGTAAGGTGGTGCTTACACCCACTATAAAGACCACATGTCATGTTTGAACTTTGATGCTTAAGGTAAGAATGTTGCCTGTGTTTGCTTTCTCTCCTATGGGTTACTACAATTGCAGACCATTACACCCGCTATAATGGACCTTTCCTTTTAATAATTTGTATAAATTGTATAAGAATTACCAAATTATTTATAGAATTATTTGATTTGAAAAAAATATTACTCTTAGAAAATTACTAATTTTAATATAATTTTGAATTATTTTTATAAATTTTATAATGTTTTATTAATTTTGTGATTTATTATTGCTTTTTTACTAAATGGTTTGAACTAATTATCTTAACTATACATATTATATATAAATGCGTTAATTTGTATTGTCATGGTTAAAATATATTATTTTGTTTATCGGTAGATCATCTCACACATTGTAGGTGAGATGCATGAAATCAAAACATATTATAAATTGAACTGCACCACACCTTGCAGAACACCTATGAGGGTTTGGTGTGCTTTAGTCCATGGTTTTCAAAACTGGAATGAACCGGACGGTTGGACCGGAAAAACTGGGAACCGGTCAGGTGACCAGTTCCGTTTTACCCCAGAACTGTTGATTTGGTCAGCAAACCGCTGACCCAGGCGGCCGAACCGTTCAATGGTTTGGTTGTTTTTTTTTTTTAAATTTTGTCAGAATAGGCCGTCCATTCGGTTCAAACGGTCGGCCCAGGAACTGGACCCCTGACTGGTTCGTTGTCTGGGTCAGTTTTAAAGACCTTGGTTTAGTCCACCCATTTTGTCCACAACGTAGAACAATATCCTGTTGTGGCGTGGTGTGGACATGCCTTTACCACAAGTGAGGTGTGAATGAGAGCCACCCAATTTCTCATCCACACTATAAAACACCCCCTCAATCTTCCATTCACCTGATTCACTTACATATTCATAACCTTCCTCTGACCAATCCATGGCAGCTCTTATTCTTCTATTGTCATCCTCAAAAACACCGTAAGAAAGAATTATGGCAGTATTTAATCAATCTTCAATCTTCAATCTTCAGCTGGGCAACCCCTTACCCTGGATACTAATTGGAGATATGAATGATCTATACCTTTGTCAAGACCAAAAGAATTTTTGATACACTACTCTCTCTAAATCAATGAAAAGTTCAATCTCACCGACATTGATTTTGTGGGCCCTCCTTTCACATGGACCAATGGTTAAAAGGGCCTAAACAGAGTCTTAGAAAGACTTGACTGTGCTCTAGCTTCTGATTGGTTAACATTTATCCCAATTCCATAATTCATCAGATCATGGTCCAATAAAACTAAACTTCCTTACCTAACTATCGGAAATTCTAGTTTGATTTTTGGGAGAATGACGGTTCAGCCCAGGGTCAGAATTTGTAGGCTCAAAGTACTGTTGGGGTAGGTGCCAGCTCGGAATTGATGCCAATTCATGGGTGGGCGTTGGTGCATAGTGTGGTTTGTTGACATTTTGAATGTTTATAGCTCTGCAGTGGAAATCAGAAATCTGCATTGGGCCTGTCCGTACTTCTCCGTTGATTTTTTACTTTTTGGACAGTACATATATGGTGCCATGACATCATATCCCATGTTTGGAATCAACAAGGAGAAGGCTCATACTCTCACCAACTCCACTCAAAAGCTGCAAAAGATCATTCCATTTGGATAGACAGTCTTTTGGAAATATCCAAGATCATCTCAATGTTCTTTCTAATGAAATATCTAGGCTTTAATTGCAGTCATCATCAACCAACAATACCTCCCTATTGAAGTCCCTTGACAATATCACTATTGGTTGCTAAAAGAAGAACAACTCTGAAGATTAAAATCAAAAGAGCTTTGGTTGCGTGATGGTGATAAGAATACTAAATTTTTTTATTACATAGCAAACCACAAGAACATAAGTGATAACATTGTCATTGAGTGGATGAAGAAATTAATGGTTCATGGACATTTAACAGGAAAGAGATCTCTGAAATATTTATCCAAGTTATCAAGGATGTAGCCTGTTGGAGGTGTTAAGGAACTGTTTGATCCCAATTCCCCCAATTCCATTCACCTTTAACAACTTCAGCAAACTCACCAGGATTCTCTTCTTCAACCCCCACCCTTTGAGGAAGTCTTTCTAGCAGTTAAGTCAATAAGCCCTCATAAGGCACTAGGCCTGGATGGGTTAAGAGCTTTTTTCTATCAACACTACTGAAAATGATTGGTCAAGAGATATACAAGATGGTGCTTAATTTTTTCACCTCTAAAACCCTCCCCAAGGAAATCAATAATACCAACATTGTTTTCATTCCAAAACACAACTCCTCAATGGAACCATTGAGTTTCATGCCAATTAGTTTCCGCAATGTATTGTACAAGATTATCACAAAATGGATGGTCATTGTTTTCAACCCATACTACAGGAAATCATCTCATCTCAACAATCTGTTTTTTTGAAAACTAGTCAAATCACTAATAATATACTAATAGTCAAAGAAATCTTACACGAGGAGAGGAGAGGCAAGGTTGGATAGCCCTCAAAGTGGACATGTCAAAAGCTTTTGACAGAATGGTGGGAACTTCTTGCAAGAAGAAGAATGAACTTCGCATTGAAATGGTGCAAGCTCAAGTCAATGCATCTCAACTCCCACTTTCTCCATTAAGTTAGGAGGTGAAGCCTATGGTCATTTTCATCTTGCGAGGGGACTAAGGCAAGGAGATCCCCCCAAGTCCATATCTCTTCATTATTGGTATGGAAGTTCTCACTCAATTGCTTTAAAGGTTGTCAACTCGGGCCAAATAGATGGTTTTCAAGTATGCTGCAATGGCACTCCAATCACTCATCTATGTTTGTTGATGACTGTATTTTATTTTGTAAAGCAAAACTCTCTCAAGTCAAGGCCCTCAGTGTTAAAGACATTTGAAGAAATTTTAGGGCAAAAGATCAACTTTGGGAAGTCAAACATCATGTTCAGTAGAAATGTTCCTAGACATCACCAGAATTTTTTTTTTCTCATTTTCTTCATGTTAAAAATCCACTAGTGGATTCGAAATATTTGGGGTTCAAAACTGCAAATATTGGTTTGAAAGCCAAGAATAGCAGCTTTAATAAAGAACTCCTGGATGGCGTACAATCTAGATTGAATGCATGAAGTACAAAACTGCTCTCCCGAGCAGAAAGAAAAACACTAGTAAAATTAGTGGTGCAAGGGTGTCAATGGATCGATTTTGGATTGGACCCCGTCCAGTCCAAAATCAATTTGGACGGATTGAACGGACTAAGAAGACATATTGGATTGGACCAATCCGGTCCAAAATATTTATTAGATTGGATTGGACCTGGTGCGTTCGTAACAAATTTATATTGGATTGGCTTGGATTAAGCCAATATCTGGTCCATTGATATAAGATAAGAATATGTGTCAATGGACCGGGTTTGGATTGAAACCAATCTAAACCAAAATGAATTTGAATAGAGTGGACGGTCCAGACATTGAATTGGACCGGTCCACATTGGTCTAAAACATTCATTGGATTGGATTGGACCTGGTCCATTTATAATGGATTCACATTGGACTGGATCGGATTGAACCAAATCCAGTCCAATTGACACCGTGCAAGCAATTCCCATTTATTCTATGGCCACAGAAAATTCTCCCAAGGACAACAGCTCTAAAATTGAAAGACTAATGAGAGAATTTTGGTGGAATTGTGAAAAGAAGGGCTCTACCCATACAAAATTTTGGAGCAAGCTTTGTCTCCCTAAAACTTTTGGAGGACTAGGCTTCAGACTAACTACACCCATGAACAAAGCTTTACTTGGTAAACATATCTGGAGGATCTTTACATCCCAAAATAGTCTATGGTCTCAACTATTAAGGTTGTGTTTGGTTGCAGTGAAATTTTATTTGAATTAGTACATATGCACGGGAATGCAAATTCTGGTTTAATTTTGTTTTGGGTTTTACTTTATTTTGCTTCAGGTCTTATTTTACTTCATTTGTACTGTAATCAAACAAAATAATCTAAATTCTGAAATAAAAATAAATCATAATTTGCACCAAAATAAATAAATCCATATTGCAACCAAACATAGCCCAAAGGAAAAATACTTCCCAAATGGCAGCCATTTTTCAACCAAATTCACAAGGAAAATCTCTTATTGGTGGAAACAAGCTTATCACATTGAAGGAGATGCAAATATGCAATCTGATATCGTTTGGTTAATCAAGGATGTTCCAGCATCTCGGTGTTCAATGACCCATGGATATCTCATCATTAATCAGTGGTCTCCCCTAACCCAGCGCATCTTTATCATCAAAGCCAGCATTAAAGTTGCAGACTTGCTCAATGTTGATGGTTCTTGAAATCACTCTCTACTTCATCAATTCATAGATGCCTCATCAGTAAGACATATAACCTCAATCCTCTCTTAACCTGAACTGGAAAGGGACAAAGTACTTAGAAGGCGGAACAACACAGAGGTATTATACAGTAAAGTAAGTCTACCAATCTTTCTTGAACTCTCTTCCATCCTCGTATTCATCACATTTCAAGTGGTCATTGATTTGGAACTCAAAATGTCTTACTGTTTCCAATTTTTTACTTGGAAAGCGCTATGGGATTTTGTGTTAACAAAAGACAGATGCAGAAGACAACTACCACAATAAGACCAAATTTGCTCCCTGTGCCATCATCATCATCATCAAAAGTCCTTTGTTCACCTCCTCTTCAAAGTTCAAATGCTCTTTTGCAAGAGCAATATGGTTTGAGGCCCAAATAGGGATCAACCCAGAAAATCTATCACCACAACCACTTCATCATCTGTTAAGCAATTGGCTATCTTCACTACGGGGTCGATTCAGCAAGCAGGAAATTACATTCATGTTGGGAAAAGTTTGCATCCTCGTGTATCTCATTTGGCAAGCTAGAAATAAATGGATTTTTTATAAGGTTCAGCCACCCCCTACTTGGTAAGGTCTCCTGCTGGTGGTAATGGAGACTTGGGATCAAATCCCACCTGCACCTGAGTTGGGGGAGTCCAAATCTCCTGTCCACAAGAACTTTGTCCATGTCTACCCACGTAACATTGCAGCCACACATGGAGAACATCTCATCCTCCTACATACTATTATGCATGGGGAGATATTCCCAATGCATGGGAGTAGTGTGTTGTGGGCAGACATGGGTAGAGTTCTTGTAGGCAGAAGATCCAGAATTGAGTTGGTGGGTGGGGGTTATGGGTTGGGGGATGGGCTACCCCCCCCGTTGCCAAGAAAAGAAGGTTGGAGTCGATAATAGGGGTTGTCCGAAGGGCAAGAGAAATCCCTCCATCTTCTGTTTTGGGAAGAACACTTGCAATTTAGAGGTGAATCAGTTGTCCATTAGGAGCTTTTGATGTGGCGACACTCAGTTGGACTCGAAGGGAAAACCAGCTGAATTTCATAGACGATCCGGATACATTGGTGGGTACTCGGATATAGTAAACTAACACCAACCAAACAAATAAGAAAACCAGCTGGATTTCTTTTAGAGGTGAAAAAAAGGGAGATAAATTGCATATCAATATCCTGTATTTTGGGCCTAGGGTCCACGAATTTCAAACTATGTCAATTCATTATCTAAATTTTCAAAACATGTCAATCCAGTACCTAAACTTTCAAAACATGACAACCTAGTATCTACTGTTAGCCAATTGTCAGTTATGTGTATTACATGACATCATGTACAACTTAAAAACCCTTTGTATATGATAAAACACCATTCGAAATAAAACACTGTCATCATCTTCTTCCTTAAGAAGATGAAATAGAGGTACAAAACACTGAGTCACATAAGCCTGATTCATCTAAATCACGGTGTTGGCCTGTTAATATGATTTTGTATCAGAGCTCATTATGTCTCTCGGTTTGGGTCATAGAAGCGGCCATCTTGCAGATACTGAAAAACCGCACAACCACAGAAGACAGAACTTGGCGTTCTGTCAGAAAAGTTTCAATTGCACCACAATCGACCTTTAGGCTCAGTTTGGAAGTACACATACAAGTGCAAAGACTTACATTTTGTATTATTTTGTATGTATTTGTACTGTATATATTTACATTTGTACTCTTTCCAAACTGAGCCTTAATAAATCTAATTGAATAACAAACACTTCCTGGTTTCAGCTGCATATCTCTGGAAAGGGCTTGATTGAACGCCAAGTGCTTCTCATTCTTCAATGTCTGCAATGCTCTTCCTGGGTTCAGTCGCCTGTTCTGGAAAGGCTTAATTTCTAGCCTTCCAGCCAGAACCACCGTCTACATTAACTTGGTGATTTGGAGTTGTGTCAATTTCTATGTTAAGTGATTGTAAGGGTGTCAATGGACTGGTTTTGGAGTCCAAAATCAATTTGGACAGATTGGATGGACCAATAAGACATTGGATTGGACCAATCTGGTCCAAAATATTTATTAAATTGGATTGAATCTGGTCAATTTGTAATAAATTTATATTGGATTGGGTTGGATTAAGCCAATATCTGGTCCATTGATATAAGATAACATTGAGAACACTCCTCATATCCACAGTTGGGGACAAAACAACTTGGTTTTCCTTAGGGGTGTACAATCGGTCAGTTCGGTTAGAACCGAAGACCTAACCGACTATTTGGTTTGACCATTTTCTTCAACCAAACTGAACTGAATTAGAGTTTAGAACCGAACCGACCCTAACCGAATTCGGTTCGGTTTTCAATTCTGTTGGGCCCTAATTCCACATAAATGACAAACATTGATCAACAAATAATAAATAATTCATAATTAATAAGTGTTATTAATTAAAAATTAAAATGGCCCCTAAAACCCAATGGTTTTAATTAATTAATTATTATTATTAATTAAAAGTTAGAATGCCCCAAAGCCCAATGATTTTAATTAATTAGCTATAATTAATTAAAAGCTATGCCCAATGCTCGGCGATTTGGCGAAATTAGGCATTTTTCAAAAACAATTAATAATTAATGATTAATCTAGGTTCTAATTAACAATTGTTAATTAAAAGTTATTCACAAACAATTAAAGCCCAATAGGAAATTGCCAAAATAGTTATTGGGAAATATAATAATTAATTAGTATGAAGTATTAAATAGATCACGTTAACTATTTAAAATACTTCATGAAACAAACACTAATTCAGTTTTCGGTTTGATTTGGTTGAAAATCTCAACCAAACCAAATCAAAACCAAAATCAATTAAAAAAAAAACGAATCAAACCGACATCCAAATTAACCGAATCAAACTTGCTTATGCGGTTCAGTTTTCCGTTTATCAACCGAATTTGAACACCCCTAGTTTTCCTCTCTCATTTGTAAACTGTCATCTAAATTCTTTGTTTTGGGCCTTTTTGAGCTCTCTTTCTTAAAATTAAGATCATGAGCATCTTTTTACTTGAGGAGCAATGCTTTCAAAACCGGGCTGGACCGGATGGTCAGACCAGAAAAACTGAGAACCGGTCACCTGATTGGTTCCATTTAACCCTAAAAACCGTTGATTTGGTCAATGAACCGCTGACTCGGGCAATCGGACATCGAACTGTTCAACCCAGGAATGGTTTTTGGCTGTTTTTTAGGCTTTTTAATTTTTTTTTATTTTTTCTGTTAGAACGAACTGTCCATTCAGACCAGATGGTTAGACTGTTTGACCCAGGAACCGACCCCAAAACGATTCCTTTTCCAATCCAGTTTTAAAAAACCTTGTTGAGGAGTGAAGATGGATCCGAAACCGTAGTTTCTTTCAGGAATATAAGTGCCTTTGAGAATTTGAAAAGGTCGTTGCGTATTAAATCAAAGTGCTGCTACGGTTGCCGGAGGAAGTGGTTTGATGGATGGAGTGGTCAGTTCGCCTTCGCTATAAAAAATAAGTTGACTTCAATATGGCTGGTTTGGCATCCTTTCACATGTCAATAACTTGTTATGGTAGGTATTGGGAGATCAAAGTGAGGTTAGGCCCAAAGTATAGGGTATTAATCTACAATTTCCCCTTTAAATAATTAAATTAAACACTCCATTATATACCTTGATATACATCATTATAAGTTTTGCAAATACCTTGAAACACCAACAAAAAAAATCAGTTGATGCTTCTTTTTATCACTTTTACAAAAGTGGTTCAGTGGAAGCAGCTCAATCAAAGTTTCAGGGCCTGTTTAGTGCATCTTTTTGGGAAGATCTTTTGGTAGCTTTGACAATCAAAAGACGCATTGAGCTTTTGCATGAAGATCTGAGCAGCCTGAAGAACGTTTGGTAGACACCCAACATGGGTTTTTCGCGTATTTTTGACGCTTTGGCTTTTGGCGGCTAGATCTTTCGTGAGACAAACGGAAATAGATAAAAAATCGGTCTGCCCAGTTTGTAAACAGCCAAAAGACCGCACGGAAAGACACACCAAACAGGCCCTCAGCATTTGGGAGGACTTTCAGTCTACAGTTTTTGGCTTTTCAAGGCGGGGCCTGCCCTAATAGCCTATAAGCAATGTTGGTAAAGAATTGGGATTCACTTCTCATAAAGCGCACCTCACACCGACGACCTCATAATACATCTCACAGTGTATTGGAAACATCTCCCCACAAATAATAACACACGAGAACGGAAAATGTTTTTTTAGTTGCTTCATAGCAGCTATATAAAAGCAGCTCAATCGAAGCTTCAGTCAACCCAAACAGGCCCAAGGCAATTAAGGTCCTGTTTGGGAGGGCAGAGCTGAAGGTTCAGTGAAGCTGGGTCAGCTGCTTTGAAGCACTCTAGCATAAACTAATCAAAGAGGCTAAAGTGGACAGCCCTTCAAGTTATGACTGCCAACTAATTTGGGCTCTCCTGATTTTCCATCAAACATAGCTTAGAGTCCATATTGGGCCCATCTTGAAAAGCCAGAAGCCGCTGAGCTTCAACTCTCCCAAAGTGCAGTAACAAAGAATCAGTTAAATCCTCATCAATAATCGAACAGGAAAAGTTCCAACTTCTAATATGAACAAATCAACCAACCAATTCTAAAACTATTTAAATAAAGCTAGGAGACCAAAATATAGGCCTATTTTTCAAACTGAACTAGTTTTTGGAAAATCGGTAACTGAAACTAAATTGAAGCCGATTGGCTAACCAGTTGATTGGTTTCATTAACCGGTTTGGTTTGTCAATTTTTTGGTTTTTATTTATGTAATATATGATATATATATATATATATATATATATATCATATATATATATTATGTGTGTGTGCGCACGTGCGTGTGCATATACACGTGTCGGTCGGTTCAATTAACCACCAATTTTTTATATTGATTAATTGAACCGACCTTTAATTTTTCAAAAATACCGAATTGATCAATTTGAATAACCAGAATCTCAGTTTGGTTTCACCAATTGGTTCGACTTTTTGGTTTTTCATGATCACCCCTAAACAAAGCCAACCACCATCAGACCATCACCACACCAATATCGTCAAGGGCTCCAAGCGTTCCTGGTACTTATCCTATCTCTGTTCATCTCATCATCAGAACCACAATGGTGGAGCCAAGGGCTCCCCTGTAATATTGCATTTCAACAGATGATGGGAAATGGGTGGTTATATCCAAGCTTTGCCAATTCTTAACGATGAAAGACCATCCAATTGTTATATCCTTTTTTGGTTGGTAATTACGATTAGGGTGTCAATTGACCAGTTTTAAATTGGATCCATCTAAATCAAAATCAATTTAAACGTATCAGGCATCAGTCCAAACCTAATGATCCAAAGTATTTGTTGGATTGAATTGGACGTTGTCTAATATATTGGATTGGATCAAATCGAATCAATATCCGATCTATTAATAAAAGACAAGATTATAAGAATGTCAATGGACCAGGTTTGGGTTGGAGGACTACTTGCAGGGGAGATGGAGCCTCTCATCAAGTTTCGATTAACTTGCAATTTCAGCAAGAATCGTATCTAGTTTGCTTGTTCATTTTCTTTTTATATAGCCTTGCGGGTTTGGTTGCTGCCTTTGCCCTTTCTATGTTTTTTTAGTTATTTGCAAAAGGTCTTGGATGAAAGGTTGTTGCAAAAGGTGTGTCCTCATATGAAAGGATCCCATAGCATTTTTAGGCCTTTTTTGGTTTGTGGGAATAGGGGGTCTGGAACCGGATCATTCCGATTCCAACTATTTGGTTGGATGGAATTGAAATCCTATTCTCATTCCTGTTGGAATTGCATTCTCCTGTTTAAGGGAATGGCCATTCCTTAGGCCTCCCTTGGAAATGAAATCCCATTCTAGTTGATTTCAATTCTCATTCTCATTCTTGTCTGAACCAAATAGACTATGGGAGTGGACCATTTTGATTTCAATTCCGGAGTATTTCGATTCCGATTCCGATTCCGATTCCGATTTCGATTCCGACTCCGACTGCGAACCAAACGGACCCTTAGTTATTTGACTCTTGTATATTTGTTGTTAATGCTCAATTTGGAAGGAATACAAATACAAATATGAACAATGCAAATACATACAAAATAATACATAATACAAGGTTTTGTACTCTACAAATTTGTATTTGTATTTGTACTCCTTCCAAACATAGCCTAATGACTTCTTTTTTTGTTGCAATGTTTTATGTCAATTTTTCATGGCTCTTGGAGGATTTATCCTTACCAGAGGTCAAAGCCAAATTTCTGTAGGTTTTTTAATATTTTTGGGCTTTAATATAATTTTTTATGCTTAGTTCAATTTGGATCTGATTGGACCCCATATGGTCCATTTGCATTTCAATTGGACCAGTTTGGACTTGGTTTCTATGATCTTCGTTGGATTGGGTCTGGTTAATTTGTAAATGGATGCCAGTTGGACCAGATCATCTGAGGGCATCAGTTCATGGTCCTTCCACCAGGTGGTCATTTCTAGCCCAATCCGTCCAACTCACGATAAGCTTGTGAAAGTTTTCTTTTGATTAAAATGCCCCTATTTTTTATTTTAGATCCCTCTCTAATTGTGAGGATAAAAAGGTATTTTGAAGTATTACTTTTCACTTCATTCATTTTCTTCTTATTAAGTCTTATATTTAAGGTATTTATTCTCATTTCCTCTCATTAAATCATATATTTAAAGTGTTCTTTTATCACTAATTAGATCTATATTCAATAATTTTAATCATATAGAATCCTTGTTTGTTAAAACCAACCTAAACAAATCCATTCTTTTGTCTAGGTGGCACTGTGGCAAGTAAACAATTCAACCATCTGGGTATCTTATAGTTAAATAATAAAAATTTTAAAATAGAAATAAACACAAAAAAATATAAAAATTAGGGCACATCTCTAATATTTTGCATCAATCATATTAAAGAAAACCAAGTGTGATAAACAAGATTTTTTTTTTTG